GCCGACCCCCGCGCGGTCCCCCTGAATTGGGAGGACCGCGGCCAATCTGGAGCCCTTCCCGTGCCCCTGGCTCAGGCTGGCCCAGAGGACGGGCCCGGAAGCAGCCTCGGACGAGGCCGGCTTGGAGGAGGTTGGACCGCCCGCCCAGCCCTCCATCCGAGGTCCGTCACCTTCCGATAGCGTCCCAGATCTTCAGGCCGTCGTCCCTGTAGTAGTAATTGCGCAGGGAGCCCACGCCCCGGGCCTCGATGTCGTCCGGAAGGCAAAGCTGGGTGTAGGTCAGCTCCTCCAGGGCTTTCTGGAGAAGCACAGCTAATCCCTGGCGCCCAGTGGCAATGGCCTGCGGGAAGAGGAGAGCCACAGGTGTCCCGGGGGTCAGGATGGTGCCCACAACCGTGCCAGCCAAGCCCCGCCCCCTTTGACACCACAGAGCAAGTGAAAAAGGGGCGTGACTCGGGTTGCATGGTTGGGGCCACCGTGTTGACTTTTTTGACCCCCTCCCTGCTGACAACCTCGAAGAGAGCCATGTCAAAAGAGACGGGTGACATTCCCAGGCATACATTTTCAAATTTCCCCCCTTTCACTTTCCTTGTAGAGCATCCATACATGGTATTCCTTTCCCAATGTCATCAGCACAACAACCCTGTGAGGTAGGAAGTGGGGGTCTGGCCCTTAGAAGGTCTTAACCCAAATATGGTTCTTTCCAGCAACCTAATTCTTCCGCTTCGTTGCTTCTCACACACATACCCAGCTGTTGCATATATGTCTCTGCTTCACACTAGCCTTTCCAAGCCCTGATATCCTCGTTAACTGTTGGCTTAAGATCAGGAGGCCTGGGTTCGAGTGTATCCTTGGCTTGCTGGGGGATCGGGGGGGCATCGCTCTCTCTCTCTCTCTCTCCTCCATCTACTTTACAGGGTCGTTGTTGTGGAGATCAGTTGTGGGTGGGAGTGCCCCCACCGCCAGCAAGAAGGACGCGTGGCCTTTCTAGTGGGATATGATGGGAACATTAATTTAACCTGGTTAGGTGGGAGGAACTGTTGAGATTCCTTCACACACCATTCTTTTCAGCAGGAACCTTATATTGGGTCAGCGCCGTAAAGTCCATCACGCCCTGTCAACCTTCACCCCCAAGATATCCCCTGGATGCCCATTTACCCTCTCATAGGTGCCTCTGTGGCCAATCAGGTAAGTCCGAGCCAAGACGTTGACATAGATGGAATAACGGAGGTGAGGTATCAGAAGCTGGAGCAGGAAGCAAGCATAGAACTGGGTTACTATAGCTAAGCGTATTGCAAAGCACAACCGGATTAACCCCCACCGGCTACAGCCCAGCCCCCGGGTTCCCCCCGGGAAGAAAGCCCCCCCGCCCTCCACCCCTCACCTTGTACAGCGGGTGGCACATCGGGAGCTGTCGGAGGGTGGCCACCGCGAAGACCTCGGCCATCAGGTGGCCGCGGAGGAGGTGGGCGATCCCCTCGTGGGTGTGGAACTCGGCGTTGCGCACCCAGGTCTTGGCCAGGGTCCAGATCCACTCTTCGTCGGTGGGCAGGAAAATGGGGCTTTGGGGCCCGGGGCGCTGGCTGAGCTGGGGGGAAACCGGCAGGGAAAGCTGCGTTGGGGAGCCCCGGGGGTTGAGGGAGGCGCCCTTGCAGGGAGACCTCCCCAACAAGCGGCTTGGAGAAGGCTTCTTCTCCCGAACGGCCGATTGGAGGGAAGAGCCTCTGAGCTTCCTTCCGAGGCTTCGTTTCCTCGACTGGCTTTCTCTAACCACGGTTTACCTACCTGGATAGCCAGAGGAAGGACGTCTCCACTGGGTGTCTGGTGGAGCAAGCAGAGGGGAGCCGCGATATACTGCTGCTTGTCGTTCAATGAAATACTGGGTACAGTCTCCAGGATCTTGTAGTCCACCAGGTATATGGTTCCTTTCTGCCAAAAAAGATATTTTTTTAAATTAAAAATTATTAGCAATGGGGCCAGCCTGTTCAAGAAGCCCGTGAGCTGGAGCTCCACTGGAGTGGTAACAACCCAGCTGGCACCTGTCTTGATTTCCCACAAAGATGAGCAAGAAATTGTTCGTTTGGGAGTGACGCATCTCAGGGGAAAAATGCGTTGGTGAAGGTTAAGTACAAAGAGGAGTAATTGTCACATCAGGCCAAAAAGTCAAGTTGTTGGCCGTGACGGGGCAATGGAAGCTTTGCACATATAAAAAAACAGGCAGGGCTTCCATCGCCCCACCACAGCCGCCATCTTGACTTTTATGACCATGCTGTGCATTAGGGAAATGCATGTTTAAAAAGCCTGCGTAGAAAAAAATTACTTAATGAAGAACAGCATGCGTGGTTCAGAAAGCGTATTAAGGCTTTGTCTTTTACTTGTATTTGTAAGCTGTTTTGTTAACCTCTGTTGTTTGGCTTGCTCAACAGCAGCTCAACGGCGGCGTTTCAAGGGGAATTTGTTGACAACGACGTGCCAACGCACACAGCCACCCTGGGTGGCGGGGTGGTCCCCACGCCTTAGAAGGGCAGGGGACCCGAGGTGGGGAAGGAATCACCTTCAGCTCTTCCGGCAGCGTCGTGGACTTCCCTAAAGTCCCAGCCACCATCTCCTGGGTCACGGGGAAATTTTCGGGGATCTTGGTGCATTTCTGGATCTTGATGGGGTTGATGCCATTCAGAAACTGGTACCCAAAGAAATCGTCGTCTTTCCAGTGCTTAAACACATACTCTGCAGCAAGGCACAAGCAAGGGAGGCCGGGATGCTGAACGCAGTAATAGAAAACGGCTGGAAAATCAGCAATTTATCCCAACCGGTGTGTTTTCCTCCAACGTCGCTCTTTCAGTGGAATTATTTAGAACGGAGTTTCTCAAACCTGGCAACTTTAAGATGTGTGGACTTCAGCTCCCAGAATCCCCCAGCCAGCATGCTGGCTGGGGAATTCTGGGAACTGAACTCCACACATTTTAAAATACTGAGGTTGAAAAACACTGGGGTAGACTAATGTAGGATTTAATATAATCTAAAATGCCTTTTAATAAGATTTGCTAGATGGAAT